AGGGGGACCTCCTCCTTCACCCCTTTCTGGCTGGGCTATGGGTACTGATGCATAAGGAGACATTCTGGCTGGTGATGGACTTCTCTGATCTGGTCTAATTCTTCTCTTACTCCAGTTCTCAGGGCCATCTGTGTGTGTGTGTGTGTGAGAGAGAGAGAGAGAGAGACAGAGACAGAGAGAGACAGAGACAGAGAGAGACAGAGACAGAGACAGAGTACTAGGACTTGAACTCAGAGCTTTATCCATTAGCTTTGTTCACTCAGGGCTGGGTGCTCTACCACTTGAGCCACAGCTCTACTTCTGCCTTTTTTTGGGGGGGGGTTCACTGGAGCTAAGGGTCTCATGGATTTTTCTTTTCCCGAGCTGGCTTCAAATTGTGATCCTTAGATCTCAGCTTCCCAATTAGCTAGGATGACAGGCGTGAGCCACTAGTGCCATTTAATTTCTTTTCTTGCTTTTTTTTTTTTTTGTCAGTCCTCGGGCTTGAACTTAGGGCCTGGACACTATCCCTGAGCTTCTTTTGCTCAAGGCTAGCATCTACCATTGGAGCCACAGCTCCACGTCCAGATTTCGGGTGGTTAATTGGAGAGTCTCACAGCTAGGAGCTGGGAGCTCACGCCTATCATCCTAGCTACTCCGAGGGCTGAGATTTGATGATGGTGGTTCGAAGCCCTCCCAAGCAGAAAACTTTGTGAGACTCTTATTTCCAATGAACTGTTCAAAAAAGCCAGAAGTGGTGCTGTGGCTCAAGTGGTAGAGCACTAATTTTTTAGCAATAGAAGTTCAAGCCCCAGGACTGGCAAAAAAGAAAAAAAGGAAGAGAGAGAGAGAGAGAAGAGTCTCATGGATTTTCCTGTCTGGGCTGGTTTTGAACCACAATTCTCAGATCTCAGCTGCCTGAGTAGCTAGGATGACAGGTGTGAGCCACCAGAGACTGGCTTTTTAAAAAATTTACTTTATTGTTATTAGAAAGCTGATGTACATCTGGGAAGGTGGCTCAGTGGTAGAGCGCTTGCCTTGCATGCATGAAGCCCTGGGTTCGACTCCTCAGCACCACATAAGCAAAAAGAAAAAAGCCGGAAGTGGCGCTATGGCTCAAGTGGTAGAGTGCTAGCCTTGAGCTGAAGAGCTGAGGGACAGTGCCCAGACCCAGAGTTCAGGCCCCATGACCGGACTCAAAAAAAAAAAAAAAAGAAAAGAAAAGAAAGCTGATGTACAGAAGGGTTACAGTTATATAAGTCAAGTAATAAGTACATTTCCTTTCATACAGTGTCATCCTATCCCTTACTGTCTCCGTTTTTCCCTCCAGTCCCCACCCAGAAATCACATCGTTCACTTTCTTTCTTTCAGTCGTGGGTTTTGAACTCTGGGCCTGGGCACTGTCCCTCAGCTCTTCAGCTCAAGAAGAGCGCTCTACCACTTGAGCCACAGCTCCACTTCTGGTTTTCTGGTGGCTCATTGGAGATCAAAGTCCCACGGGCTTTCCTGCCTGTGCTGGCTTTGAACTGTGATCCTCAGATCTCAATTTCCTGAGGAGCGTGAGCTACCGGTGCTCAGCATATAGTTCACTTTCAACACAGTATCTATTAAGTATCATGGCTACATTTGTGTTCCCCCCACACACACACCAAGAAGTGAATAAATCATATCAAAGAAAAGAAAACGAAATGACCAAACAACAACAAAAACCCTCTTATTTTCATATCTTGGAGTTTGTTTATATATGTGTGTGTGTATATACACACATATATATATACACACATGTATGTATAATTGTATATAAATATAAATAGACACATAATCATTGTGCCTTTGGATTCCTCCCCTAAGTCTCCTTCTTTGGTCTCACTGTGTGAAAATGCCTAGAGTCCTGTATAATTTATCATGTCCTAGAGTATTTTAGATCTAGCTTTTGCACAGAAAAGAAAACATGGTGCCAATTGTCTCTTTGAGTCCGGCTTACCCCACCTCACGTGATTTGTTCTAGGTCCATCTGTTTCCCTGCAATCTAATGGTACCTGTGTACAATTCCACTGTGTACAGGTACCATATTTTATTTTTGGATCCACTCATCTATTGTAAGGTGTCTGGGCTGTTTCCGCAACTTGGCTTTTGGGACTAGTGCAGCAATGAACATGGGTGTGCTAGTGTCTTTACCATATCCTGGCTTGGGTTGTTCTGGGTAGATGCTCAGGAGCGGTATGGCTGGGTCATAGGAAAGATCTATGTTTAGTTTTCTGAAGAACCTCCGGACTGCAGTTCAGAGTGGTTGCACTAGTTTACATTCCCACCAACAGTGCAACAGGGTTCCTTCTGCAACCACATCTCCGCCTGCATTTTTTTGAATTCACAATGTGTGGACCACAGGATTCCCCCCCCCCCGCACCAACACTGCCCTCTTGTGATCAACACATATAACTGCTGGAGTGCCTCTTCCTCTTGTAATTTCTCTTGACCCCTGCATGGGGAGGGGAAGAGGAGGGTTTGAAACTCACACAATCAGGGAGCAGAAGCCTCAGGCTGGTGGCTCATGCCTGTCATCCTAGCTCCTCAGGAGGCTGAGAGCTGAGGATCGCGGTTCAAAGCCAGCCTGGGCAGGAAGGTCCGAGAGAATCTGCTCTCCAATGAACCACTCAGAAAACCGGAAGTGGCGCTATGGCCCAAGTGGTAGAGTGCTTGCCTTAAGTAGAAGAGCTCAGGGACAGAGCCCAGGCTCTGAGTTCGAGTCCCATGGCTGACAAAAATAAAAACAAAAACGCTGTGGTCCTAAGTGATCTGGCCTCCATTTCTACTTTCCTCAGGGAGCTACAGAACCTCGAGCCAGATCAGCCTTTCGAAATGTCTTCCTGGGCGTCCCAGTGGATCTGTAGCCTGGTCCTCCACCACTCAGGAGGCTACGATCTGAGGATCTCAGTTCAAAGCCAGCCCAGGCAGGGAAGTCTGTGAGACTCTTGTCTCCAATTAATCAGCTAAAAACAAAAAAAAAAATGGTCAGAAGTGGAGCTATGGCTCTCAAGTGGGTAGAATGCCAGCCTTGAGCAAAACAAAAAAAAAGAGTTCAGGGACAAGTGCTCAGGTCCTGAGTTCAAGCCCCAGGACTGGCAAACAATCCAAAAAACAAAAAGCATCCAAAAGGAAGGGAAGAAAAAAAAATTTTAAAGTGAGCCGGCTTGCCCAAATCTAGTTAATTTATAACTGAACAAATAATATTGAGAAACTCCACTGGGGAGGTGGGGGTGGGGTCAGGCTGGTCACCAGTGTCCTTGTTACCATCACCCCCCCCAGCCTCCCCCCCCTAGCCCCCCCCACCACCACCGCCAGCCTGGTGAAGATGCCCCCAGTGAAATCCATCCAGAACTAAGGCAGGCCAGGCTTGGAACAGGAAAAGGAAGAAGAAGTCCCTCCTCTTCCTTTCCACCAGCCCCTCTTCTCCTCCTCTTTCCTGATCTCCTGGCTGAGCTTGAGTGAGATTCTCTGCTTGAGAAACACCCAGATAAAGACAAACTCAAGAGCTACGTGGCAAGTAGACCCTGCATGGCGGCCTTGTGGTATGCATTTCCCAGAATCCTTTCTGCCTTTCTGGGGAGGGGAGGTGTTACCCACTCTAGCATGGGATGGGGGTGGAGGGCTTAGTTTCCCAGCCCCCTTCCCACACCCCTTGGGGGAAGAAGGTGGCTTCTCCTTATACCCAGAGAAGTTGCACACTCTTTTTTTGGGGGGCGGGGGAGGGATCAGTCGTGGGACTTGAACTCAGGGCTTGGGCGCCATCCCTGAGCTCTTCAGCTCAAGGCGAGCGCTCTACCGCTTGAGCCACAGCGCCACTTCTGGTTTTCTGGTGGTTCCTTGGAGATCAGAGTCTCACGGACTTTCCTGCCCCGGGCTGGCTTTGAACCACGATCCTCGGATCTCAGCCTCCTGAGTAGCTAGGATGACAGGTGTGAGCCACCGGCGCCTGGCTTGGATTTCTCCTTCTTCCATACATGAGCCAGCCCAGCAATGTCAGCGGTAAAGGATTTCCAAATGCCAAAGCGATGCAAAGCAACTGCAGTCTCTTTCCACCATGACAGGCTTATAAAAAATACATCAAGTTAAGGGTAAAACTGGACGCAGGTGGCTCACACCTGTCATCCTAGCTTCTCAGGAGGCTGAGATCTGAGGATCACAGTTCAAAGCCAGCCCTCTGCAAGAAAGCCCATGAAACTCTGATCTTTAATTAACCAAAACAAAACCAAAAACCTTGATTATTCAAGTTGATAGAGAGCTAGCCTTGAACAAAAAACAAAAAGCTTAGCTGGGCACCGATGGCTCATGCTTGTCATCCTACCTACTCAGGAGGCTGAGATCTGAGGATCACGGTTCAAAGCCAGCCAGGGCAGGAAAGTTTGTGAGACTCTTATCTCCAATGAACCACCACAAAAACGGAAGTGGTACTGTGGCTCAAGTGATAGAGCGCTCTCCTTGAGCTGAAGAGCTGAGGGACAGCGCCCAGGCCCAGAGTTCAAGCCCCACGACAAAAAGAAAAAGAAAAATAGCTTAGAGACAGAGCCCAGGACCTGGGTTCAAACCCCAGGACTGGCGCTCTTTCTCTCTCTCTCTCTCTCTCTCTCTCTCTCTCTCACACACACACAGAGAAAAGGTAGATGGTGGTGCCTGACTAAAATTCACTCCTAATTTTGATTCCAGAACTCTCTTCTTTGGTAAGATAGATAGATAGATAGATAGATAGATAGATAGATAGATAGATAGATAGATAGATAGATAGATAGATAGAAAGATAGAAAGATAGATAGATAGAGATAAATATATATAGACAGATATAGATATATATTGATATATTGATTTTTTTTTGGATCTGTGTCTTTTCATAACGCTTTCCAGAAGGGATGGCTAGCTCCTCTCTCCAAACTCAGAAACAAAACACACACTGACCTTTGATTTGGGGAGGGACGGAGGGTTCCAAGCCATCACCGCCAAGCCAACCCGCGCCTTCCCACTCCAAAATGGATGAGCTCGCCTCCTGCTACGGATCTGCCAGGACCCTGGAGGACCCCGACCTACCCAGCAACACTGTGTCAGCTGCCAGGACCCAGGACATAGAAATATGGAAGCAAGTGTTCCAGGAACTGATACAGGAAGTCAAACCGTGGCACAAATGGACCCTAGAATGGGACAAGGACATTCTTCCTGACTCCCCAAAGCCCGGGTGGGTGAAGTGGCAGCAGAAGGCCTTTGCCAGGTAAGAGGGCAATGGGAGGATGCCAGGAAAACCCCTGCTTAGCTCCTTGTGTTTAGGTGCATGCGTGTATGAGTGCCTGCCTGTGTATGTGTGGATACCAGTGCTCGAACTCAGGGCCTGGGCGCTGTCCCTCAGCTCTTCAGCTTAAGGCGAGCGCTCTACCACTTGAACCACGGCACCACTTCCAGTTTTCTGGTGGTTCGCTGGAGATAAGAATCTCAGGAACTCTCCTGTCCAGGCTGGCTTTGAACCACGATCCTCAGATCTCAGCCTCCTGAGGAGCTGGGATGACAGGCATGAGCCACGGGCACCTATCTAAGCATCTTTCTGAAAATAGGACTCACAGGTTGAAGTTGTGGCTCAGTTGATAGACTGCCAGCCAATGAGTCAGATAGTGAGTTTCAGTATTGATCTCAGACAGTAATAAGAAGAAGAAGAAGACTCTCAGCAGGGCGCTGGTGGCTCACGCCTGTCATCCTAGCTACTCAGGAGACTGAGATTTCAAGATCAAAGCCAGCCAGGGACAGAAAAGTCCATGAAACTCTGATCTCAAAGATAAAAACAAAACACACACACACACACAAACCCCACTACCAAAACCCACTACCAAAAAGCCAGAAGTGAAGCTGTGTGGCTCAAGTGGCAGAGCGCTAGCCTTGAACAAAAGAAGTAGTCCAGGGATAGCCCCCAAGCCCTGACTTCAAGCCCCAAGACCAGTACTCCCCTCCCCCCTCCCAAATAAAATAAATAAATACATGAAACAGGACTCTCAGAAGGTCAAACAACCTTTCAACTCCTCCCTTCTCCAGCTGGGAAAGTGAAACCTAAAATTCTGGGCAGGAAGGCCTCCCAGGAAACTCGACTGGCACAGAAGGTGGAGTCTAGCTGCTGTCTCCTCTACTCCAGTCTGACCAGAAAAGATAAGACTTTTTCCAGGCGGGGCGCTGGCAGACGTCCCAGAGCAAAGTCTGTGTATTTGTAAGAACGTAGAAATGCGAGGCTGGCGTGCTAGAAATGCGATCAGACCAGGGCAGGAGAAAGGAGGTCAGGTCGGCCTAAGCAGGATCTTGTGCATGGTTCATTTACAGCAACTCCTGGCTAGTTCATCTCAAAAGTCCCTGAGCTCCACGCACAAAGGTAGAGGAAGGCTGGGCACCGGTGGCTCGTGCCTGTCATCCCAGCTACTCAGGAGGCTGAGATCTGAGGATCACGGTTCAAAGCCAGCCCGGGGAAGTCTGTGAGACTCCGATCTCCAGTGAAGCAGCAAAATGCCAGAAGTGATGCTGTGGCTCAAATAGTAGAGTGCCAGCCTTGCGTGAATAGAAACTAGGGGAGAATGCCCTGGTCCTGAGTTCGAGCCTCAAGTACAGGCCAAAAATGAGAGGGGTGGAGGAAGGAAAGGAAAGAAGAAGAGAGAAGAGGGGAGGGGAGGGAAGAAGGGAAGAGAAGGAAGGGGAAAGGAGGAAAGGGAGGGGAGGAGGAGGAAAGGGACCAGAAGGGGAAAGGAGAGGAGGAGAGAAGAGAGGGAAGGAGAGGGAAGGGGAAGGGAGGGAAGAGGAGGGGAAGGGAGAGGAGAAAGGGAAAATGAAAGAAAAAGGAAACACTTGTCTCTTAAGTGAGCTTGTGTCTTTCAACTCAGACAGCTTGTGATGTTAATGGGTTTTGTTTTGTTTTATTGTTGACTTCAGTTTATTTCGTTTGTTTTTTAGCCAGCCCTGGGTCTTGAACTCTGGGCCTGGGCACTATCCCTGAGCGCTTCAGCTCAAGGCAAGCACTCTACCACTTGAGCCACCGCGCCACTTCCAGTTTTCTGGTGGGTCATTGGAGATCAGAGTCTCACAGACTTTCCTGCCCAGGCTGGCTTTGAACCACCATCCTCAGATCTCAGCCTCCTGAGTAGCTAGGATGACAAGTGTGAGCCACCGGCTCCTGGCTGGCAGATTTTCCATCTTCATGGCCAACACATGGGCACAAGAGGGCTGGATCCATGTCTTCTGTCTCTATTCTGATCCCGCCCACCTGAGTCACGTGACAGTGACTGACAGCTGCTCTCTCTGGCTGTAAGTGAAGGCTCCAGGTCATTCATTGACCTGGCTCATCTCTCTGTCTCCCCAGATTCCAATGCTCTTCTTGCTCTCGAAATTGGGCCTCTGGCCACATCCAGGTCCTGTTCTACATGCGTTGGAATAAGCAGAGGCACCAAGGGCAGGTGAAGATGAGGACGTTTGCTCAGAGGTGTAAGAAATGCCCTTCTTCTCCGTTTGAGGTCCCCGAGTTCACCCTGGAGAATATCTCCAGGATCTTGAACAACCTGGTGCTCCAAATCCTGAAGAAATGCTACAAGGAAGGATTTAAGCCGATGGAGGAGGTGTCTGTCATCAAAGACACGGAACTCGAAGGCCCCCATGACAGCACCAACTGCGAAGCCTGTCTGCAGGGCTTCTGTGCCCAGAGCTACGGGGGCCTGGTCACACAGCGGCCATCATCACCCCACCCCTGTGGGGAGACCGGGGTCCCCAGCGTCATCGCGACTGGTATCAACATTCCCCAAGGAGACAAGGTCCTTCCATCCAGAGGGAACCCCAAAGATCCTATCCACCCCAAGGCTGACCCCAAGATCCGGCACACATCTCCCACACGACAAGTTCTGTCCACTTCGACAGTGGACCCCAAATCTCAACCTCCCAAGACTGACCCCAAGAGCCAGCCTACATCTCACACACAACAGGTTCTGCCTACTCTGGTGGTGAACCCCAAATCTAAACCTCCCAAGAGCCAGCCAACATCGCACACACAACATGTTCTGTCTACTTCGACGGTGAACCCCAAATCTAGCCCTCCCAAGATTGACCCCAAGAGCCAGCCAACATCGCACACACAACATGATCTGTCTACTTTGATGGTGAACCCCAAATCCAACCCTCCCAAGACTGACCACAAGGTCAACCATATGTCAAAGCCATCAACTGCTCTAACATCTCTCACATTCACAGTGGACCCCGAAGTTCCTATCTTCTCCAAGGCGGACCCCAAGCCCCAGTGCACCACCAAATCATCAACTACCCCAACACTGCCACAAGAGGCAACCACGGTGAACCCCCAGATCCCTAACCCCAGCAAGGATGACCTCATAGGCCACAAGATCTCAAAGTCATCCACATTTCCAAGGCTGCCACCAACCCGCTCACCGATCCCTGCTCTGGCCACGAGAATGGCTTCCCCAGAGAACATCTGGGGGGGAGATAGGAGCTCAATGCCAGGAAGGACTCAGTTCCCATGCTCCCCGATCATTGAGCCCGTGCAAGACCCAAGGCCTTCCTGTTCTTGGAATTCAACAGCCAGCACTTCCCATGGGATAGCAACCTGCGTCGACATAGGCTCAGGGTGTGGAGAACGCTTGTGCCGATGCGGAGAGTGTCTGTGTAAGGCCTTGTGTAGCAGGTGTGGCTTCTTCATTCTGATCTTGGTGATTATTATTGTTGCGGTGAAATTTGTGGGCATCATCTGAACCCAGCACCGGTGGCTCACGCCTGTCATCCAAGAGACTTCGGAAGCTGAGACCTGAGGCTCGTGGTTCAAAGCCAGCCCTGAGCTAGGAAAGGCTGTGAGACTCTCATCTCCAATGAACCACGCAGAAAACCAGAAGTGGCGCTGTGGCTCAAGCGGTAGAGCGCTCGCCTTGAGCTGAAGAGCTGAGGGACAGCGCCCAGGCCCAGAGTTCAAGCCCCACAACTGGCCAAAAAAAAAAAAAAAAAGAACTTTTAAAAAATTAGAATAAAATATACGGCCACAAAAAAAATAGATTAACCTAGTGCAAAAATGAAAAATGAATGACTAGCCTCCTTTAAGTTGCTTCTTTCCTTCCTTCCTTCCTTCCTTCCTTCCTTCCTTCCTTCCTTCCTTCCTTCCCTCCCTCCCTCCCTCCCTTCTGTCTTTCTTTCTTTCTTTCTTTGTCTGTCTGTATGTCTTTCTTTCCTTCCTTCCTTCCTTCCCTCCCTCCCTCCCTCCCTCCCTCCCTCTCTCCCTCCTTTCTTTCTTTCCTTCTTTCTGTCTTCCTTTCTTTCTTTCCTTCTTTCGAGCCACTTGAGCCACAGCACCACTTTTGGTTTTCTGGTGTTTCATTGGAGACAAGAATCTCACAGAGTTTCCTGCCCAGGCTGGCTTTGAACATGATCCTCAGATCTCAGCCTTCCGAGTAGGTAGGATGACAGGTGTGAGCCACCGGCACCGGGCTTGAATCACAACTATAGTAACAACTTAAATAATGTTTTTTTAAAAAGGAAGAGAAAGATGGAGCAAAAATATAAAACGTAACTTACTGAAATATAATTTCACAACTATAGAAATAGCTTATATAAACCCAAGGATCATTATTCCCAATAAGAGAAATATTGCATTAAAACAATTGCATTTGTGTGTTTATTTATTTTGTGGTTGTACTAAGGCTTGAACTCAGGGCCTGTGTACTGTCCCTTAGCTTTTTTGCTCCAAGCTAAGCACTGTACCACTTGAGTCACAGCTCCACTCCTGGCTTTTTTCCCCCCCCCCCCCCACTGGTTAATGGAAGAGAAGACTCCTAACAGACTTTCCTGCCTGGGTTTGCCTCCAATCTAGAACCTCAAGATGTCAGCATCTTTACTTTGGTGTTTTTGTTTTTGTCAGTCGTGGGGCTTGAACTCTGGGCCTGGGCGCTGTCCCTGAGCTCTTCAGCTCAAAGCTAGCACTCTACTACTTGAACCACAGTGCTACTTCTGGTTTCCTAAGTGGTTTGTTGAAGATAAGCATCTCACAGACTTTCCAGCCCGGGCTGGCTTTGAATCTTGATCCTCAGATCTCAGCCTCCCGAGTAGCTAGGATGACAGGCGTGAGACATTGGCACCCAGATTTCAGCATCTTTAGTAGCTAGGATCAACAGGCATGAGCTACCAGAACCTGGTTTATTTCTTTATTTGATGCTTGTTTGTTTGTTTGTTTATATCCATACTGAGGCTTGAACTCAAGGCCTGAGTATTTCTCCCTTAGCTTCTTTCCTCTCAAGGCTGTACTCCTTTGAGCCGTGGCTCCGCTTCTGGCTTTTTGGTGGTTCCTTGGAGATAAGAGTCTCATGGACTTTTCCTGCCCGGGCTGGCTTCAAATTGTGATCCTCAGATCTCAGCCTCCTGAGTAGCTAGGATGACAGGCGTGAGCCACTGGTACCCAGCCAGCCTGTTTGTTCTTGTGACAGTGATCTAGCTTTGGTCATGGTTTCTATATGACGTGCCGTACACACAAAGATTTCAAACTCCAGATGACTCTGAGTGGTATGTTGCTGCTTTGTCGTAAGGGATGTCAAAGTTGAAGGCTAAAAGAGACTTTGGTAGTATAGCTAGGAACAGATTCTGCAAATGAAAGGAAAGAAAATACACTTAAACAACCATTCACCCTTTTATGACGAAATGTGTCTACACAGCCACCAACTGTAAAACACTGAGGATTGCCACTTGATCTTTTCAATACAGAGATTATGTCTGGTTAACCAATAAAGCATTTACCAGCCTGAAGTGGCTCATGATATATAAGGTGGCTCATGCCTGTCATCCTAGCTACTCAGGAGGCTGAGATCTGAGGATCACAGTTCAAAGCCAGCCTGGGTAGGAAAGCCCATGAGACTCTTATCTTCATTGAGCCACCAGAAAGCCGGAAGTGGCGCTGTGGCTCAAAGTGGTAGAGCACCTGCCTTGAGCTGAAAAGTTGAGGGACAGCACCCAGGCCCTGAGTTCGAGCCCCAACACCACCCAGTAACCAACCAATGAAACAAACAAGTACAAGCGACTCACCTCTTTCCCTAAGATCTTCAATATAGGCTCTCATAACTTCCTTATCAAAGTGTTGGCGATCCCGTTCACTTTCCATAATTTTACTGCCATCCTGGCATTGGGTTTTATCAATCGGATTATCCATAAGACTGATGAATCTGCTCGAGAAATTACAGGACATAAGTTTCAACGGTGTAAGTTTGACTACATGGTTCTTCCTAGAGGAAGCCAATTTGAGGGTGGGTACTGGTGGCTCACGCCTGTCATCCTAGCTATTCAGGAGGCCGAGATCCGAGGATCCCAGTTCAAGGCCAGCCCAGGCAGGAAAGTAGCACTAATTAACCACCTGAAAACTGGATGGGGAGCTTTGGTTCAAAGTGACAAAGCAGTAGCCTTGAGTCAGAGTGCTCAGGTACAGTGCCCAGGCTCTGAGTTCAAGCTCTAAGACTAGCACCAAAAAAACAAAAACAAAAAACAGGGGTGCAGTGGGAGGAGAAAAAATCAGAGTTATATAGACTTATCTAGCTATAGAGACCCTCAGAGTATAATACCTACATTTAATCACTTTCCAATTTGTGTATGCATCATGCCAGTACCAGGACTTGAACTCAGGGCCTTAGCCCTGATCCTTATCTCAGGCTCCAGGATTACTAGCTCACCTCCAGTCCAATCACTTTATTTATTTATTTATTCAGCCAGTCCCAGGGCTTGAAATCAGGGCCTGGACACTGCCTTGAGCCTCTTTTGCTCAAGGCTAGCGCTCTACCACTTGAGCCACAGCACCACCTGCGGCTTTTTCTGTGTATGTGGTACTGAGGAATCGAACCCAGGGCTTCAGGCATGCTAAGCAAGCACTCTACCCCTCAGCCACCTTCCCAGCCCCTCTACTCACTTTAAAGGTGTCGAGGAATCGCAAAGGGCGGTCGGGAACTCCACCAAATGGTCCCCGCTGACCACCAGCAAGGCAAGCTTCTTCAGATTAAGCAAGGCATGAGGAAGGTAGGTGAGTTTGTTCTTGTATAACAAGAAGCTGTGCAGTTCCTCCAGTCTGGGGAAAAGAAAACAGGGTCAGAACACGGACATTTCACTCCCTGGGAATTACAAATCACACTCAGTTGGGAAGTCCTATTTAATCTACTTCACCTATGACACTTATTTTTATTTATATAAGAAGCAAACTTACAGGCTGGGAAGGTGGCTTAGCAGTAGAGTGCTCGCCTAGCATGCATGAAGCCCTGGGTTCGAGTCCTCAGTACCACATACACAGAAAAAGCCAGAAGTGGTTCTGTGGTTCAAGTGGTAGAGCACCCAGGCCCAGAGTTCAAGCCCCATGACCGACAAAAATTAAAAAAGTAAAAAGTAAATAAAATACAAAAGAGACAAAGCTTTGTGTTCAAAACCCTAGGACCAATACACACACACGCACACACACACACACACACACACACACACACACACACACCAATATACAATTGTTCACTTTGATATTAAAACATAACAATATTTTCTATTGTAGAAGTAATAGCTTTTCTACTTTTGTGGTTCCGTTTTTTGTTGTTGTTGTTGTTGTTGTTGTTTTTGTTGGTCGTGGGGCTTGAACTCTGGGCCTGGGTGCTGTCCCTCAGCTCTTCAGCTCAAGGCAAGCGCTCTACCACTTGAGCTACAGCGCCACTTCCGGTTTTCTGGTGGTTTACTGGAGATAGGAGTCTCATGGTCTCTCCTGCCCGGGCTGGCTTTGAACCTCGATCCTCAGATCTCAGCCTCCTGAGTAGCTAGGATGACAGGCGTGAGCCACCAGCGCCCGGCATGTGGTTCCGTTTTATGAGAGAAAAAAGCAAGGCAAAGTTAGACAGCGGCGATGTTTTATTCCAATTCAGGAGCAAGGAGACACATGAGTCAGATTGTGCATTGTCTTGTTCTCTCATTTTCCAGAAACTAGACATTCTGGAAAATTAGTTGTTTTCAGAGAATATTCATTTAATACGCATCTTTTAAAATCCTGCTATTGTCAGATACCAGTGGCTCATACCTGTAATCCTAGCGACTCAGGAGACTAAGATCTGTTGGATCAAGGTCCAAAGGCAGCCCAGCTACCTTATCTCCAATTAGCCAGCAAAGAGTGGAGCTGTGGCTCAAGTGGTAGAGCACCAGCCTTGAGCAAAATAAAGCTCAGGGACAGTACCCAGGCTCTGAGTTCAAGTCCTTGTACCAGCATATACAAACAACAACAACAAAAATTCACCAAGTCAGGCACCAGTGACTCACGCCTGTCATCCTAGCTACTCAGGAGGCTGAGATCTAAGGATCACGGTTCAAAGCCAGCCTAGGCAGGAAAGTCTGTGATACTCTGATCTCCAATGAACCACCCAAAAAAAAATAGTAGAGCACTAGCTTTGAGGGGAAAAAAAAGTTCAGGGAAAACACCAAGGCCCTAAGTTCAAGCCCCAGGATTGGCACAAAAAAGTAAAAACAAGGGCTGGGAATGTGGCTTAGCGGTAGAGTGCTTGCCTAGCATGCATGAAGCCCTGGGTTCAATTCCTCAGTACCACATACACAGAAAAAGCTGCAGGTGGCGCTGTGGCTCAAGTGGTAGAGCGCTAGCCTTGAGCAAAAGAGGCTTAAGGACCTCACCTTGAGCTCCCAAGTACCTGTCTATATCTTGAGGCAGGTCGCTCAGACTGTTGCTGCTAATATCCAACCACTGCAAACTAGACATGCGCAGAACGCACACCGGGACACTAGAGAATTTGTTGTCAGAGAGATCCACAAAGGTAAGTTGCTTCAGGTTACTCAACTAGAAAGAAATAACACAACATCCCAATTACCTCTTTAAGCATGGGAGTGGAAGGCTGGAGAGGTGGCTTCGTGGTAGAGTGCTTGCCTAGACTGCATGAAGCCCTGAGTTCGATTCCTCAGCACCACATACACAGAGTGGGTGGTGCTGTGGCTCAAGTGGTAGAGAGCTAGCCTTGAGCAAAAGAAGCTCAGGGACAGTGCCCAGGCCCTGAGTTCAAGCCCCAGAACCAGCAAAATAAAATAAAATGGGAGTAAAGTTCCACTAAGAATTTTCTAGTTGAATACTGCCCCGGCACTGGTGGCTCACGCCTGTCATCCCAACTACTCAGGAGGCTGAGATCTGAGGGTTGTGGTTCAAAGCCAGCCTGGGCAAGAAAGCCTGTGAGACTCTTATCTCTAATAAACCACCAGAAAATGGGAAGTGGCGCTGTGGTAGAGCATTAGCCTTGAGCTGCAGAGCTCAGGGACAGCGCCCAGGCCCAGAGTTCAAGACCCACAACCAACCAAAAAGAAATTTGCAATTGATGGTTTCCCTTCAAAGACATCTCTCTGAACTTACACAAAACCAGATGTAGCCAAGTACTAGTGGCTTACACCTGTCATCCTAGCTAGTCAGGAGCCTGAGATGTGAGGATCACAGTTTGAAACCAGCCCAGGCAGAAAAGTTGGTGAAACTCTATGGCTAATGAATCAGTAAAGTGACAGGTTGGAAGGAAGTATGGTTCAAGAGGTAGAATACCTGCCTGGCAAGTATAAGGCTTTGAATTTGAATGTCAGTGCTGCCAGGAATTAAGCGGGGGGGGGGGGGGGGGGGGGGGGGGGGGAGGAATTAAATCACAGTGTTGTTCTTACTTCAAAGGGGAGCTCTATCAAGTCCAGGTTCCCAGAACAATCCAGTCTCTCCAGCTTTTCACAATCTCCCAGTTCTGGGGGAATGCTCTTCAGATGGTTGAAACTCACATTGAGTTCCTTCAGGTTCTTCAAACGACCTGGCATGGGGAAATATGAAAACTCCAACTGAGCAGGACCTTTTAAGAATAAAAGCAAAAGCCAGGCACTGGTGGTTTTTACCTGTTATCCTAGCTACTCGGGAGGCTGAGATTTCAAGACCATGTTTTGAAGCCAGTCCAGGCAGGAAAGTCTGTAAGACTCTTAGCTCCAATGAACCACCAAAAAGCCAGGACAGGAAGGAAGGAAGGAAGGGAGGAAGGAAGGAAAGAAGGAAGGAAGGAAGGAAGGAAGGAAGGAAGGAAGGAAGGAAGGGAGGGAGGGAAGAAGGGAGGAAGGAAGGAAGGAAGGGAGGAAGGAAGGAAAGGAGGGAGGGAGGGAGGGAGAGAGGGAGGGACAGGGTCCTTGTTGCTCACACCTGTCATCCTAGCTACTCAAGAGGCTGAGATCTGAGGATTGGGGTTCAAAGCCAACCTGGGCAGGAAAGTCCCTGAGATGCTTATTTCCAGTGAACCACCAGAAAACCAGAAGTGGTGCTGTGGCTCAAAATGGTAGAGCACCAGCTTTGAGCAAAAGAGTTCAGGGACAGCGGACAGCGCCCAGGCCCGGAGTTCAAGTCCTACAACCAACAAAGAGAGGGAAGAGAGAGCAAAAGAGAAAAAGAAAGCTCACAGCCTACCCTACCAAAGATGTGAGAAAATACATTCTCCTCCCTCCCAACAACTCCAGCCTTCATTAATCACTCAGACCTGGCTCTCAATCAGGCCTTTATAACTTGAACTCTGGGGCTTGAACTCTGGGCCTGGGCGTTCTGCCTCAGCTCTTCAGCTCAAGGCAAGAACTCTACCACTTGAGCTACAGCGCCTCTTCCAGTTTTCTGGTGGTTCATTGGACATAGGAGACTCACAGACTTTCCTGCCCAGGCTGGCTTTGAACCGCGATCCTCAGATCTCAGCCTCCTGAGTAGCTAGGATGACAGCTCTGAGCCACCAGTGCCCAGCACCTTTGTCACTTTTTTTTGCTCCTGTCACATGGACACATCAATGCATCTCACTCAGCCTCAGTGACCTCCTCTGTAAAATGTGCACATGCGCAGAGCATTATATGTAACCGTAGCTCTCTGGCTCTTGGCTTCTGGCCCCCTGCTCTTGTTCAGGGCCAGAACCTGCTAAGCCTCTCACATCATGGCCCCGTTGGTGTCAGCCAGCTGGAGATAAGCACTGGAACAATGCCTCTGGGTGCCAACAGCCCAGCCAGAGGCCGCTGCAGAGGACCAGGCTTGGATTGTGACCATGGTAGGTGCCAGGGGACACTTCAAAGGACACTCCACCGGCAGTGAAGGCTGAGAAGAGAAATGCATGGCTGCCATGAATAGGCACGGGGAAAGGGAGAGAGAGGAGAGTGAGTCACAGAGTTGGCACCATGAACAGAAGATGGGGTCTGGGGCCTGGTCCCTTCGAATGAGAAAATCAACCCCATAGTTAACAAAAGTCACATTTGCCCAGCTGCCCCCGCAGGACTCAGGTGGCTCACGCCTGTCATCCTAGCTACTCAGGAGGCTGAGATCTGAGGATGGAGGTTCAAAGCCAGCCCCGGGCAGGAAACTCTGTGAGACTCTTATCTCCAAGGAACCACCAAAAAAGCTCAAAGTGGCCAGGCACCCATGGCTCATGCCTGTCATCCTAGCTATTCAGGAGGCTGAGATCTGAGGATCATGGTTCAAAGCCAGCCCAAGCAGGAAAGTCCATGAGATTCTTATGTCTAATAAACTACCAGAAAACCAGAAGTGGCACTGTGGCGCTCACCTTGAGCTGAAGAGCTGAAGGACAGTGCCCAGGCCCAGAGTTCAAGACCCATGGCCAATAACAACAACAACAAAAACAAAAACAACCAGGCCTCAAGGTTCTTGATAAATAACATACCGATTTCAGCTGGGAGATGCAAGATGTGGTTTTTTGGTAGATCCAGAATTCTCATGGCCTGAAACAGCTCAATGTAGGTAGGAATGACTTGAATCAGGGTGCTGTGTATATGCCATTCTTCCAAGTGTGTCTGCTCCTTCAAAAAATCCGGGAGCTCCTACAACAAAGCGGATGATGACGACCAAAACCAGCTCCTAGCTGGGCAGTGGCTGACACCTGTCATCCACGCTATTCAGATCTGAGGATCCTGGTTCAAAGCCAGCCTGGACAAGACAGTCCTTGTGAGACTCTTCTTTCCCATGAACCACTCAAACACCAAAGCGGTATGGTGGCTCAAAGTGGTAGCACGCTAGCCTTGAGCAAAAGAGTTCAGGGACAGCAATGCCCAGGCCCTGAGTTCAAGCCTTACAACCAGACAAATTAAAAATAAGAAAGCAAAAACAAAATGCAGCTCCTTGTCAGGCAAAGTGTCCCATGCCTCTAATCTGGGCATTCAGAGGTTTTTTTGTTGGTTGTTTTTGCCAGTCCTGGGGCTTGAACTCAGGGCCTGGACTCTGTCCCTGAGCCTCTCTATGCTCAAGCCTAGCACACACTACCACTTGAGCCACAGCACCACTTCCGGCTATTTCTGAGTAATTTATTGGAGATCAAAGTCTCACGAACTTTCCAGCCTGGGCTGGCTTTGAATCTCGATCCTCCGATCTTTGGCCTCCTGAGTAGCTAGGATGACAGGCATGAACCATGGGTGCCTGGCTCTCATTCTGACTTCTTTGTGCAGCAAGGGGGGCCCAGCTCCGCCCACCTCAAGAGGGATCCAAATGGACTCCCCTGGCTCTTTCCAGGATGACACAGGGCTGCCTGGAGGAAGAAACAGGAGGATCACGTTCCACGCAGAGAACCAACAGGCCCCTCCTCAGCCTCTGAGAGAGCTCTCTCCAGGCCAAAGCGTTCACTGGGCCAAAGCCAAGGTGAGGCTTAGCAGCAGACAGCTAGCGGCTTCAGCAATGCCCAGAGCCACCCCAGAGACAGCTGGACTCACTTTCCAGTGCTCGCCCGAAAGTTCAAACACAAATGGACTGCTCTGTTTGTCTCTGGCCTTGGTAAAGGTCCTCTGTCTCGTGAGTGAGTTCTTCTCCATCTTCTCCAGGAGCCTCATGCTGGTGTCTATGATGCCGTTCTTGCAGTACTGAGACTGGGGTATGCCTTTCTTCCTGCATTCTGCCACGAAGTTCCACTCCTCCTTTATCCTAAAGCAGAAGTAACGGGCCACGATTGATTTATTTGTTTGTTTGGTCGGTTGTGGGGCTTGAACTCTGGGCCTAAGCGCTGTCCCTCAGCTCTTCAGCTCCACCACTTGAGCCACAGCGCCACTTCTGGTTTTCTGGTGGGGTCGTTGGAGAGAAGAGTCTCACAGATCTTTCCTGCCCGGGCTGGCTTTGAACCGTGATCCTCAGATCTCAGCCTCCTGAGTAGCTAGGAGGACAGGCAGGAGCCGCTGGCAACTGGCCAAGAGGTCTTGAGTTCAAGTCCCGCTTATTGGTACACACACACACACACACACACACACACACACACTCAGCATAACAGTGGCCTACTCCAATTCCTGTAACTAAACACACTGGGAGAGACAGTACAAAACACACGTACTTTTCCAGGGCACTTTTCTCCAGCCTTTCTGCCTCTTTCTTCTGCCACGCCTTGTGTTTCTTGACACGCGTTTCCCACAATGATCTCACCACAGAAATGTCAAACGTGACCACCTTATGTCCCATTTTGGGAACATGAAATTACCTAGTTAAAACAACAACAACAACAATAATAATAAGGGCTGGGAAGGTGGATTGGTAGTAGAGCGCTCACTTAGCATGCATGAAGCCCTGGGTTCGATTCCTCAGTCCCACATACTCAGAAAAAGCCAGACGTGGTGCTGTGGCTCAGGTGGTAGAGCGCTCGCCTTGAGCTGAAGAGCTGAGGGACAGCGCCCAGGCCCTGAGTTCAAGCCCCAGGACTGAAAAAAAAAATGTGTGTGTGTATGTGTATTAATAGTAATACTATGCAGGTCAGCTTCATACACACAGAGGAGAAAATAGCTTTCATGGGGGCCCAGGAGAATTAGTCCTGCCAATGAGACTCTCTGGGGACATCAAAATACAGTGAAGGCAATAAAACGCAGCTTTAATAACTCACAAATTCCATTCTGTCGCCACAAAACCAGAGCTTGAGATTTCCCTGAAGTTGAAATGCAGTTACGTTTTCTCAAAGAAACAGCGAGGGAAACTCATTCTTCCCAGTAGCTCGTCCACATTCTATTTTTAAAACTTATTTTGAGTTTATTTTTATTGTATGTTTTTGTTTTTTGTACCAGTACTGAGGGCTTGAACTCAGGGCCTGTTCAGCTAGTTTTGCTCAAGGCTGGTATGTTCCTACCACTTGAGCCACAGCTCCACACTTCTGGCTTTCTTTTTGTTTTATTTTATTTTATTTTTTGCTGGTTCTTTGGAGATCAAGGGTCTCACAGACTTTCCTGCCCAGGCTGGCTTTGAACCATGATCCTCAGATCTGCAGCCTCCTGAGTAGCTTTAGGATTGCAGGTGTGAGCCACTGGCATCCGGCCCTCAGTGGAGTTCTAAATTAAATTACGTTGGATGTAATATGATCTGTGACCCTGGGGACGCTGGATGATTTTTATAGTAATTTGTTAATCTTAGAAAATCGTGTCTGAGGAGGCTCAGGGCACAGATGGGATTAAGAGGCCGGATCTCAGTCAGATCGCCCGAGCTGGCATTCTGCCTGTCATCTCTTTCTCCCAAAGGACATGGCCACCTCTGTTCTCACGTGGACACAGAGTTGGGGTGGGGGCGAGGGGGACAGCACCCCGTGATCATTCGTCAAATGCTTAGACCCAAGCAGGCGGGAGCAAAGAAAGCTCACTGGTTTTTGTTCCTTGGTTGGTTTGCCAGTCCCGGGGTTTGAACTCAGGGCCTGGGCGCTGTCCCTGAGCTGCTTTTGCTCAAAGCCAGCGCTCTACCACTTGAGCCACAGCGCCACTTCCAGCCTTTTCGTGTATGTGGTACTGAGGAATCGAACCCAGGGCTTCATGCATGCTTAAGGGAGAGCTCCACCACTGAGCCACTTTCCCAGCTCAAACAAAAACACAAAAACCATCCAGGCCTTTCCCTCTCTGCCTAGAACAATGACAACAAAAACAAAACAAACAAACAAACAGCCCTTGGGTACCATCCCCCCCTCCCATTCCCCCTCCCCCCATCGGAGCCAGGAGGCTTTAAGACCCCCCCGGATGATTCTCTTCTGGATGATTTTTCGGATCCATTTTCCACGATCCACTCACTCCAACCCCACCCAGTGCTGAGGGTGGGGGCGGGGAGCTTGTATGATTGCACTTTCTAGAACTTTCCCCCGCCCCCTCCCCCTTCCCCTTCCCTGCCAGTCTCCCATCCCTACCCCTGTCAGGTGTCTATACCACATTCTGCATGGGCCAGGAGAGCACACAAACAAAGTTGATTTATCACCACGTTGGCTCAGGACAGCACCGGAGAGCAACACAGAACCAAAACAAACACCCCCAAACCAAACCAAAACAACAACAACAACAACATAACCGCACTGGGCCAGGACAAGGCGATTTGGGGGAACCCACGGATCACCCCCCTCAGGCCCCAGATTTGTGGGAATAGGGGGCTATCAGAGCTTGGGCCCAACTGGACCCATTGGCCTCTCCACAGCTTTCATGGGCTTTCTAGGATCAAAAATGACAGATCCAATAAATAGCTCTGGCCCGAGGCAGCCCCTTCCCTTCCCATTTCTCCTTTAATTCCTCCTTGATAGCCAGCCCCCCCCCCCAAGCTGGCCTCCTGAGCCTCTCCCTTCCTCCCTCTTGGCCTTGGAGACCCCCTTCCCATACCCCAGCCCCTCACCTGCCCTGGCTGGGGTGGTCTCAGGCAAATCCCGGGGTGCCAGGAGGTTGATGTGGTTTCCCAAACTGTTTACACTCAGGCCAAGCACTGGGGCGTGTGCTCTGCTCAAGGCCTGTGTGCTCACCGAGCTATATTTGTAAAAGGAGAACATGATCTAGAGGACATGTGCTGTTGGACTGTCTGTCTAGTCGATGTGAGTCAGCCTGGCCTGAGGAACAGCACAGATATCACAGGGAGGGGCCTTGGCTTCCTGGGGGAGGGAGGGGGGAAGGGGATGAGGGAGGAGCAGACCGCAGGATGGAACCCAATGGGGCTGTAGAAAGCTGGCCTCTTTTCCTTCCTTCCATTCTTCCTTCTTTCCTTGCTTGCTTTCCTTCCTTCCTTCCTTTCATTCTCTTCTCTTTTTTGGGGGGGGGGTCAGTCATGGGGTTTGAACTCTGGGCCTGGGCGCTGTCCCTCAGCTCTTCAGCTCAAGGTGAGCACTCTACCGCTTGAGCCACAACACCACTACCGGGTTTCTGGTGGTTCATTGGAGATCAGAGTCTCATGGACTTTCCTGCCTGGGCTGGCTTTGAACCTCGATCCTCAGAGCTCAGCCTCCTGAGTAGCTAGGATGACAGGCGTGAGTCACTGACTTCTTTCTTTTCTTCCCACCCCCGCCTTTCTTTTTTTGCCAATCCTGGGGCTTGAACTCAGGGCCTGGGCACTGTTCCTGAGCTTCTTTTGCTCAAGGCTAGGTCTCTACCACTTGAGCCACAATGCTACTTCTGGCCTTTTCTGCGTATGTGGGACTGAGGAATCGAACCCCGGGCTTTATACATGTTAGGCAAGCACTCTACCACTAAGCCACCTTCCCAGCTTTTTCTTCTTTCTTTCCTCCCCTTCCTTCTTTCTTTTCTTCCTTCCATCTTTTCCTTTCTTTTTCTTTTTTTGTTCTTTTCCTTCCTTCCTTCCTCCCCCTTTCTCCCTTTCCTTCATCTTGCAAATCTGATCCAGTGCTGAACTCAGTCAGCCAAAGGAACAGGAAAGGGTTCTTATGTTCTCGGTACTGTGTGCCTAAGAACTCAATAAGGAGAGTGATTAGAAACAATTCTCACAGCCAGGGGCCCCGGTGGCTTATTCCTGTCACCCCAGCTACTCAGGAAGCTGAGATCTGAAGATCAGGGTTCAAAGCCAGTCAAGACAGGTAAGCTGGAGAGGGAATGGTGGCTCAAGTTGGTAGAGTACCAGGTTTGAGGGAAAACACTAAGGGACAGTGCCCAGGCCCTGAGTTCAAGCCTGAGTTCAAGGACCTACAGAATAGAATATAAAGGGCTGGGAAGGTGGCTCAGTGGTAGGGCGCTTGCCTTGCATGCCTGAGGCCCTGGGTTCCATTCCTCAGCACCACATAAGCAAAAAAGAAAAAAGCTGTAAGTGGCACTGTGGCTCAAGTGGTAGAGCACTAGCTTTGAGCTGAAGAGCTGAGGGACAGCGCCCAGGCCCAGAGTTCAGGCCCCACGACCGGACCCCCCCCCCAAAAAAGAGAGATAGAATATAAAGTATACACACACACACACACACACACACACACACACACACATCTCCATTGACTCCCAGCTTTCTTTCCTATTTTTTTCTTTTCTTTCCCATAGCATAGGTGAGTTGAGATTGTCTTTAGAGAGTTTGCTCACTAGGAAAATATGTCTTGCTGATAACCCAGCCTGGTGGCTATGGGACCATAAGCTATTAATAAGTGTTGGGGCTCCCTGTGGCTTTCTGGAACCCACCAATCCTGTTTGTCTCCCTCCCTCCCCCTCCCCCAGCTCTTCACCAGTTAGCTTTGCTTTAAATCAGAAAAACACAACCAGGCGCTGACAGCTACTCAAGCTGCTAGCTACTCAAGAGGTTGAGATCTGAGGATCAGAGTTCAAAGCCAGCCCGGGTAGGGAAGTCCATGAGACTCTTATGTCCAATGAACCACCAGAAAACCAGAAGTGCCGTTCGCCTTGAGCTGAAGAGCTGAGGGACAGCACCCGGGCCCAGAGTTCAAGCCCCAGGACTGACAAAAGGATTCCTGGGTTGGTGTTTTCTGGCTAGCCAGGGAAAGGAAACTGGCTCTTAGGCCTTAGGCAACCACCCACAGGGCAAACAACAGAACACTTAAGATTTGCATTTCTTAATTAATTGGTGATAAGTATCTCCTAAGAGAAGAGGCTAGCTTCCGGCCGTGCTGGCTTTGCGCCAAGATCCTCCGACCTCAGCCTTTCTGAGCCAGCCACTGATGACAGATGTGAGCCAGCGGTGCCCAGCTGTGGTATTTATTATTTATTGGTGCAGCAAAACAGGCTGACCCTGCCATACACGGAGGGAGTGGAGGGGGGGGGAGAGGCTGAGATTTCCGGGAAGATCCGGTTTCTGGACCTCCTGTGGTGTCTGGAATGAGACCAGGTTTAGGATCAGGAGGTGCAGGGTTAGTCCAAATCCTGAAAACAAGCTGGGGAACTCTGGGGTGGATGGGACCTGGGCCGCAGGAAACCCATTCTCCTGTCTCGGTTTAGAATCAATCATCAGCTGACCCTGGTGGCTCACGCCTGTAATCCAAGCTACTCAGGAGGCTGAGATCTTGAGGATGATGGTTCAAAGCCAGCTTGGGCAGGAATGTCGGTGAGACTCTGTATCTGAAATGAACCACCAGAAAACTGGAAGTAGAGCTGCGGTTCAACGTGGTAGAACACTCGAGCACCCACGGCTCAGGGACAGCGCCCAGGCCTCGAGTTCGAGTCCCACCAGCACCATCAACAACAGAAAAAGCACTAATGGCATCATTGATCGACCATCTATCTGCAATCGAAGGGAAAATGTCGCCTAATTCCTCAAGTTTGCACAAGGTTGGAGTCCAGCCACCCCCACAGAGCTGGTCGAAGAGGCGGCAGACGTGTGTCTACCCACGAATCTACCTTTCTCGGAACCTCGCCGGAAGACCACAGGCAAAAGGGAAGCAGGCTTCCACTTTGTATTTGTTAAATTCCTCAAAGTGAAAACAAAAAGCCATTAACTTGTTAATGGAGTCTTTAGGCTGGTGGGGGGGGGTCAGCCAACCCCAGCAAGATTGAGGATTGGAAGGGATTAGAGAGGGCCCGCTCACAGCTGGAAGTAGCTAGAAGGTGCGTCTAGCTGGCCTAGAATCCTACACCGCCCACCCCCCCTGCCACTTTCCAGCTGAAGGTGAGAGGTTTGCTCAAGGTGAACACAAGATGCCCTTGTGGCTTTTTGATCAAAGTTGGCTTTTCCCCAGATACCCGGTCATCGTGCTGAAGAAGAAGAAGAAGAATAAAGAATAGCTTTTTGATTAACTTAATTTAATTGACCTAATTCTATAGGGCTAAAAACTAGCCCATGTGTTATTTGATCTTTCTCTCTTCCTCTCTTCTTCCTTCCTTCCTTTCTTCTTTTCCTCCTTCTTTCCCTTCCTTTCTTCCATGCCAGTCCTAGGGCTTGAACTCTGTGCCTGGACTCCGTCCATACATTTCTTTTATTCAAGGCTGGTGCTCTACCACTTGAGCCACACCTCCCCTTCTTACTTTTTGATGGTTCATGGGAGACAAGAGTCTCATGGACTTGGAGTAGCTAGGATGATGGGCAAACCACACACACACACACACACACACACACCTTTCCTGGCAAAAACAAACACACAAGCAGATTTCAAGAACTGAAATTTGAGAATGAAATCTCAACTGCTTTGTTTGAGAGACCCAAGATTTCACCAAGTTGGAATGACCAACTTGATAGAGTTCATTGATTGGCCTTAAAAATTTTTGTTTTCTCCTCTCTAAAGAGTAAATCTGGTCTTTATTTTTTTTAAACCAACTAAAAGACAATTTGGGGTTGGCAGCTATTAGGGGCCTACCTGGATATCCCCACCCCAGGATTATTACTGAGCTCCTCCCTTCCCACAAATCCCTCACTCAAGGTCAAAGCATTCATTTAGGGGTCAAGATCCTCCTCCCTGCCCACCTTCCCCCCCTACAGCTCCTCCCCTCCCCCTAATTTTCCTGTATTTCTTGTCTCTGTGTTTCAACCAAAACCTGCTGGGGCCAAACGATTGCTCTCATCTGGATTGATCATCCTTTGAAATTGCTTTTTTTTTTTCCCACTTCAGGAAAATTAATATTTTTCCTTGAGGTGTTTTGGCCCTGATTCTATGAATGAAAGGCACAGCGAGCAATCTTTATTCCCGTCTTCTCTGTTGAATTTCTAAGGAGCGGCGACCCTGGGTTTGGAGAAGATGGCGACATTCTCTTTCAGGTATGATCCTTGAACTTGAACTTGTCTCCTCGTGACGGTCAGTGTGTCCTCTTGTCTCTGTTGTTCTTGTGTTTTGTTTCGTTTTTTTTTTTTTTCCTGAGAAATTTGCAACTTCACTGTGAATCCTCCTGGGTTAATGATTTTTTTTTTCAAATTATTTTCAATAATAATAATACCAGAGTCACAGCCTGACCCAAAAGAAAAAAGTCTGCTTTTGTAAAAGGTCAGACGTATTAGAGATTGCTTGGAGTTTACAAAATGTTTAAGAATCATCTTCTCCCAAAATGTTTTTTAACCTGAAAATGCTTTAAAAGGATAAGTTTAGTTGCAATAATTTTATAAAATGGGCTTCGTCGATTATATAGCACGGCATGCAGCCATATTTTAATTTTTAGAATATCATTTTATTATCATTTTTCTTATTTGTATTTATTTACTTACTGTTGGCTGATCTAGGGCTTGACCTCAGGGTCTGGGCCTGAGCCTCTTAGTGCTCAAGGTTAGCCCTCTACCACTTGAACCACAACTCCACTTCCATTTTTTTCTAGTAGACTTTCCTGCCTGGGCTGGCTTTGAACCATGATCCTCAGATCTCAGGCTCCTGAGCTAGGATGACAAGCGTGAACCACCAGCACCCAGCTATTATGATTATTAATGTGTTGTTTAGAGAGATTACTGGTTCCTCAGTCAGATAATGAGTATATATGCCGAAGTCTCTCTATGCTCAAGGCTAGTGCTCTACCACTTTTGAACTAGAGCCCCACTTTTCGGATTTTTTTTTTTTCTGTTGATTTAATTGGAAATAAGAACCTTACAGACTTTCCTGCCAAGGCTGGCTTCGAATCGCAATCCTCAGATCTCAGCCTCCTGAGTAGCTAGGATTGCAGGCGTGAGCCACCGATGTCTGGCCATACTGTAATCCTTAGAGGAAGGACCATTCTAGATCATTTGAATCAGGTGCACGAGACAAGATCTAAGACTTAATCGATAGGCATGACCGGTTTTCCACTTTTTCTTTGTTGTCTGAGCCAGCCTCTTAGAAAAGGGGAGGTCACACTTTACAATTTGGGCTTGTCTCTGAGAAGATGGACTCTGTTTTATTTCTTTATTCGGTATTTGCTCACGGTTGTCTGATTTTCTTTTCCTAGAGTGGTTTTCATGATGACGGTTTCCAATGTCTTTCAACTGGGATTAATTGTTGGTGAGAGAACTTTATCCTTTGGGTCACTAACTTTTTTTTTTCCTTGTGGTATTGGTGATCAAAACTCATTGATGACCGGGTGCCGGTGGCTCACACCTGTCATCCTAACTACTCAGGAGGCTGAGCTCTGAGGATCACGATTCAAAGCCAGCCTGGGCAGGAAAGTCCCCATGAGACTCCGATCTCCAATTAACTACCAGAAAGCCGAAAGTGGCGCTGTGGCTCAAGGGGTAGAGCCCTCGCCTTGAGCTGAAGAGCTCAGGGACAGTGCCCAGGCCCAGAGTTCAAGCCCCACGACTGAC